GGGGGAGGAGCAGGCAAGGGGCACGCTCAGGGGAGGGGCAGAAAGAGGTGTGGGAGGGCCTTGGGGGAAGGGGTGGAGTTGTGGTGGGGCCTGGGACTGAGCGGGGTTTGAGCACCTCCGGGGAAAATTAGAAGTGGGCACCGGTGTTTGGGTACCTTGTTTCTTAGGCGCTCAACTTGACCAGGTAAAGGCCTCTGATTTTTCAGACAGAGGCACTCGTCTTTTGTCTGAAAATCAGGCCCTCCTAAGGCATATCAAGTTGGGTGACTAAAGACATCTGTCACTTTTAATAATCTTGGCCTTTTACTGTACTCCAGAACTGCTGCCCCCTAAAGTATTTCTATCACCAAACATTATTTATTACAGTTTTGGTGTAAAATGTAATATTAGTATCCCAGCTGAATATTTTAGCTTGGCTCATTCCAAGAGATTGAACAGAAGATATTAAAAATAAAATAACCATCATCATTTCAATGGCTGAAATAGAATACGTGTAAATCCGGCACTACTTGAGATCAATAGTACACTTAGATCTCAGGTTGTGTAAAACAATTAATAGGCTTGCCAGTTCTCAATTCATCATGTTTATTTTCTGCATACCTGTAGTTTGGTTTTTGATGTATGGCATTTTGCCAAGTTAAAAAAACGTTTATAAGCTTAGTATGATCCAGAAATATAAAGAGTCCTGCTACTGAAACCGTGATAAACAGATTATGCAATTAAACACTATGGTACTTAAATTTAGTGGACAGTATACACCACAGATAATGTCCTTTATTGTTAGTTATTGTTATTATTTAGTATTTAGATTGAGGTAGCGCCTAAAGGCCACAACAGGTTAGCCGTCATTGTGCTAGGCACTGTATCAAACATAATAAATGATAGACTAAGTCCCAATGAGCTTACCACCTAAAAGACAAGATATATGTTTCCAGATTCACCTGTAGTATACTGTGTTTCTCAATGGTACTTACAGAAGGTGTTGAAGACAAGGCAGAGTACAGTGAACTTAATTCTCAATTAAAAAGGGATTTGCACTGAAAAGATTCTTCTTGTATCATTTGTTCTGTTTCTGAAAGAACATTTATTTTATTTATTTTCTTTCTTGTTTTTCCTGTTTTCATCCATGAGGATAGGCTCTGGCCACCAGACTTCTCATTTTTCATAGGGTAATCTTTATATTGTGGGCCTGTCTCTTCCATGGAGAAACATTTATGTTTTGGGGGAATACATCTAATTTTGCTTTATGAATGTAATTGTATTGCAACAGTTAGTCATACTATTGTGTGTAATGTGACACTGTGACACAATTCACCATCAGAGAGGTAGTGTTGGCCCACAGAACAAACCAACAAAAGTGGCATAAAAGAGGAGGTGCAGGTACAGTGGTCACTAATAAAAGTTAACCTGTTTAATAACAGTAACCATATAGTTCCTGAGATTGCCACCGTTTTCTTCCTATATTAAGAAAAGGAGAACCACAGCTATATATATTAGAGGATTGGTCCAAAAGAAATCTGATGAGGTTCAACAAGGACAAGTGCAGAGTCCTGCACTAAGGACGGAAGAATCCCATGCACCGCTACAGACTAGGGACCGAATGGCTTGGCAGCAGTTCTGCAGAAAAGGACCTAGGGGCTACAGTGGACGAGAAGCTGGATCTGAGTCAACAGTGTGCCCTTGTTGCCAAGAAGGCCAATGGCATTTTGGGATGTATACGTAGGGGCATTGCCAGCAGATCGAGGGACGTGATCGTTCCCCTCTATTCGACACTGGTGAGGCCTCATCTGGAGTACTGTGTCCAGTTTTGGGCCCCACACTACAAGAAGGATGTGGAAAAATTGGAAAGAGTCCAGCGGAGGGCAACAAAAATGATTAGGGGACTGGAGCACATGAGTTACGAGGCGAGGCTGAGGGAACTGGTGATGTTTAGTCTACGGAAGAGAAGAATGAGGGGGGATTTGATAGCTGCTTTCAGCTACCCGAAAGGGGCTTCCAAAGAGGATGGCTCTAGACTGTTCTCAGTGGTAGCAGATGACAGAACAAGGAGTAATGGTCTCAAGTTGCAGTGGGGGAGATTTAGGTTGGAAATTAGGAAAATCTTTTTCACTAGGAGGGTGGTGAAACACTGGAATGCGTTACCTAGGGAGGTGGTGGAATCTCCTTCCTTAGAAGTTTTTAAGGTCAGGCTTGACAAAGCCCTGGCTGGGATGATTTAGTTGGGGATTGGTCCTGCTTTGAGCAGGGGGTTGGACTAGATGACCTCCTGAGGTCCCTTCCAACCCTGATATTCTATGATTCTATATGAGAGCTCAGCTTGAAATGCGAAGTTCAGGGTGTTTAGCCCCAAAGTTTCAGTAAGGCCATCTGAGAAATTCAGACCTGGGTTAAAAAACATGCTCAAGTTTCAGGAATGTTTGGGTATAGGGTTTTGCTCTGCATCCACCTTCAGTCTCATATGTATGCTCCATGTCCTCTATCATAGACAAGCTGGTGATCTGACCTGACCTCCACTTACGAGATTCTGGTTTCATTGAGGTTAAACATAAAAACTGCCCCACAGTATTAGGGTATTTCTTTTAAACTCAAACAGTTCCTCTCCATAGTGCACTCCAGTAGGATGTATATACATAACTAGGTATTTTCCCTTCCTAAACTGCAGTATGAAGCCAAAAGGTTGGAGTGGAGCCAGAGGAGGAGTTTAGCAATGTAGAGGACATAGGTGGGCAAATCATCTCTCTCTTCTTCAGTTCAGTGGTATTTACAACGAAATTGACATAGGAAGCCAGTTTTCACTTTAAGAAAAGGAGTACTTGTGGCATCTTAGAGACTAACCAATTTATTTGAGCATAAGCTTTCGTGAGCTACAGCTCACTTCATCGGATGGATACTGTGGAAAGTACAGAAGATCTTTTTATACACACAAAGCATGAAAAAATGGGTGTTTACCACTACAAAAGATTTTCTCTCCCCCCCACCCTACTCTCCTGCTGGTAATAGCTTATCTAAAGTGATCACTCTCCTTACAAAGTGTATGATAATCAAGGTGGGCCATTTCCAGCACAAATCAGGGTTTAACAAGAATGTCTGGGGGCGGGGGGGAGGAAACAACAAGGGGAAATCACTTTGAGCCTCTAGTAGGTCAGTCAGCGTACCCCAAATTATTAACTGCAGTTCAGTATCTTGTACAGGGGACAAGAAGTAATTATATTTCACTGAGTTTTGGGTGGTCCTGGGCTGCTGGAAAATAGGATTTTTTTCTAGCTTGCTCTGAGATATAATCAGGTAAAATAAACTGTGGTTCAATATAGCATTGTTCATACTCAGAAATACTTACGGCACCCAACACTATGGGGCCCCAGTCCTGACTGAACCTTGTGGGCATTGTCGTCATACAAGTACAGCACTGGTATGCAAAGTGTCTGTAGTTGCTGAATGAAGAATGAATGCCAGGTCTAAATAAACCTGAATTTGATTGGTTTTATTTCATGTTGTTGGGGTGGGAAATAAGCCCTTTCAGTATTTCTAATCCTGGTTTTTATTGTTTATACGTAAATGTATAGATCGTGCCTTGCCAGTACATGCTGCAGACAATGAAGGATGAACAGGTTTTCTACATTCAGCACTTGAAGTCTTTGGCATTTTCCGTGTACTGCCAATGCAGGCGACCATTGCCCACACAGATCCACATTAAGTCTCTGACTGGCTTTGGGCCAGCTGCCAGCATTGAGATGACCCTCAAGAACCCTGAGGTTAGTACTCCTGCCAGGACAGCAAGGAGTCTGATTCAGGAACTGATCTCATTTCTCAGGACCCAGAAAGAATGAGTATGGGAAATACTTTGAGTCGCTAGTCGCTTTCTTCTTTTCAAGGTATTGGAGATGATGAGGTAGGGGAAAGGAAAGACAGGTGAATATGTGCATAGCCTAATGTGTCCATATATGAAATGGGTAGTTGTGCACATTCAGGTCTAATGTTCAGCTACCTATGGCAAAGGGTAAATGGAGAAATCCCCTCTGGATTCTGTCACTTCTCATGAAATGACTATAATGGTCTGTAGGCTGTTAAGTGATTCTGTCTTTCATCTGATCCTAACTTTGCAAAGATTCAAGCTCTGTTTTCTGCATTTCAGAAGTCTCAAGTGAAGAATAATCCTTCCTGTTTCCCAGGAATGTTCATCCTTTGGGAAATACCATGGGACTTACCTTTATTTAGATTTAACTAAACAAATATAAAAAACACTTAGTAAGGACATCTGGAGCCCAGGATATTAATTAAAAATGCAGTTCCAAAATCATTATGAAGCCAAAATATCAGCACGTTTGCTCACATACATACACCCAACAGGAATCAAAAACAGATTACCATCCAAATCAGAATCTCTACACTTCTCAAAATTCCCAAAAGAAATCTCGTCCTCAGTCCTCCTGTCCCCCCAGAAAAACAGAATGTCTCTTCAAACCAATGGACTCTGCAACATGCCCGTAGGTCAGTGATATTAGGTTAGTTTTGACCAAGGGGAACAGTGAATTCCAAAATCTAAGGACTCTCACAGAAAACACTCTGCCAGCAGCTCCCTGTCTTACTCTAATGGAGGCCCAGCATAAGAGCCTGCACCATTGTTTAGGTGTTGTATTTTGTAATAGTGCCATGACAGTATGGCATTATTTTATAATGCAACACCTGAGCTTCTCCAGTTTATGTGCAGACAGCACAGTGGTCCATGTGGTGCAGAACAGACAAGAACAGAGGGAGGAGGGGTGGGGGAGAGGAAAGGAGGCTGAACAAGAGTGGAAAGGATCACCACGAGAGAGGAAGGGATAATAGATCTGAATGGGCAAATAGGTAGAGAGGAGAAGGGAAAGAAACGGATGAGTATTGGTAAGGAAAGGGAAAGAAAGAGAGCAGCAGTGGGATGGTGCGCCAACCTGTATAAGAACCCAAAACATTACTTTTCATTCTTTCTCCTCAAACTGATTTATTTATTCTTTCTTTGCCACCTTTTTAATTTTTCAAAGAGACAAAAGAAGACAAAATTAACAGGACAAGAAAAGTAACATTTTCACATGTAATTGTTTGTATTTAGTATACCACAGATGGGCAGAAGACTGCACTCTCCATTGTACGTGCACTTCTCATCCATCCCCACCCAAAATGTATTCTCAGTTAACTAAAAAGTTAGACATGATAGCCTATCAGTTCCTAGATCATTTACTCTAGACCACCTATCCAGTAACCTCCTTTGCTTTATAATTCCTTTAGGGATACAACACAATGTTTGAGAAGGAGGTGGTTTAGTAAGGTGATGACTGATTACTGGGTATGCATTGTTTCAGGAGTGATTGAAAGTATTTACACAAAGAGGCAGAATTGTATTAATACTTTAATTACAAACTGGGTGCTGAATAATACTAGGGGGCGTCCTTCAAAATCTGGTAGTTTTTTTACCTGAGTTAGTGATTACTGTAGAACTGATTAGCAGCAGGCCTGCTGTTCAGCTCTGACACTGAGACCTCCAAAATAGCTCTAGAAAAAGAAAAACAATAGAAAAACAAAGGTTTGTACTTTGCAGGATTTCAGATACTTTGTATTCATATTATGATTGCCATTCCTGTCCCTTGCTACATGAGGTTATATCAGCACTGTCTACATAGAAGCCCCTATTTTAAAAGGTTTATAACTTGTGACTCTGTCACTCCATTACTCATGAGTTATCAACTCATCACTAACACATACAGATATTTCTTAGATCAAATTGTCAGTAGCCTGTATATATTTAGCATGTTTAGCAATTAAAACACAAGAAAATCGGGGTTTAAATTTCTACCTCTGCCACTGACTTGCTGCGCGGCTTTGGGCAAGTCACAGCCTCTGTGCCTTAGTTTCCTTATCTGTAAAAGGAAAATAAAAGTTCAGCATCTTTATAAATACATTTTAGTGCCCATGACTTTTTTAAAAAAATTTACTCCTGAGGGCATTCTGCATCAAAACATTAAAATTCTGCACACGATATTTTAAAATTCTGCAAATTTTATTTGTCAAATAAATATGGAGGCTCCAGCATGGTATTGGGGAGCACAGGCCATTAGCTGCACAGAGGTGGGAGATCACTGTGTAGCTCTCACCCTCCCCCCCGGGACATGGACTCAGTGATGAGGTTGCATCCAACCCTGACACAGTGCAAGGACCGGCCTGCCCTCAGAAACACCCCAGGTGTGGGAGGCAGGCTCAGCAAGGCAGGATCCAAATGTGGAAGGGCTTAATGTGGGAGGATCCAGGTGTGGGGGATCTGGATGCACAGGGGCTTGGGGGGTTCTGGGTGCAATGGTAACGGGACTCTGCAAGGGGGTCCAGGTGAAGGTGGTTGGGGCTCAGCGGGGGGAGGGGTGTGGGGGAGTGGGGCTCAGTGGGGTGGTGATCCAGGTGCAGCTGGTTGGGGCTCGGTGGGGTGGGAATCTGGGTGTGGGTGGCTTGTTGGGGTGGTCTAAGAGCAGGGAAGTGGGGCTCATCATGGGGCATTCTGCGTGTGGAGGAGTGAGGCTTGGCAGGAGGGTCTGGGTATGAGGGGGTCTGGATGCATGAGGTTGGGCGGATGTGGGAGCAACTCCCTGTACAGAGATCCCTCCCCCTGCAGATGAGGAGAAATGGGTGCAGGAAGTGGGGGAGGGCAGTTTGCAGAGCTTCTTGCAGCCAGGGGAGAAATCTGGAGGTGTGTCTGACCCGGACCCAGATGCCATGCAGGGAAAGAGGAAGTTCCATCCTCCCCAGCCCAGCCTGGACTAGCAGCTGAGCTCAGTACAGGGTAGGAACCACCAGCCGGGTCTTCGCCAGTCCTGCCTCCGGCCCCAGAGTCATTTACCTCTCTGCCGGCAGTCCTGGGCACCCGAAACGTACTGCTGAGGAGGGGGGTTGCATGATCGATCTTGTGGCTTCCTTTTGCTTCCCCATCAGAAAGTCATTTTTCTGCGGGGAAGCAAAGAAATATGCAGGGGACATAAATTCTGTACATGTGCAATGGTGCAGAATTCCTCCAGGAGTAAAAAATTTCTAAGTGCATGAGACTGTCTGAATTAGGTGACATTTATTAATGGTGATGAATTCCTTTATGTTCATCTCTTTCCAGGATATATTAGTTTTGAGTGTGAATTCCTTGGCTTCTACCTGTTTGTTTCATAACTTTCATATTTCTTCATGTGTATATCACTGTTCCATGTTATGCATTTCTTATACAAGCACTGCTTTAGATAACTCTGTACTAATGATGACGATGCTGACTTTAATTACAGCGCCCCAGTCCAATTCAGCTCTACTCTCCTCCTTTCATACTGGCACCCATCAAAGACAAACAAACAGAGCTTGGGGAGACATTTGGAGAGGCCAGTCAGAAATACAATGTACTCTTTGTTGGATATTGTTTGTCTCATGATCAGCGCTGGCTCCTGGCATCCTGCACTGACCTCCATGGCGAGCTGTTGGAAACCTGCATTGTAAATATTGATTTGCCAAACAGGTAGAAACCTTCAGTTTTATGTTAAGTTTGGGTCGACATTTCTCTGTGTTCACTTTATCTGGCCGTTTGCACATCCCTTTCTAGTTCCCTGTTACTGGGGTGATAACATTTCTTTGTATTGATGGTTTGTGTCATAGCTTACCAAGTATGGAGTAAGAAAGTGATTGCTTTATAAATGCCAACTGAGTGCATCTCTCAAGTACAGCTGGTACAGTGCTCAGCACAGTGGTGCTTATTTTGTGACTGGGGCCTTTGGGCACTACTGCAATGCCTATAATGGAGGGAAAGACTCCTTTTCTACTTTTTGGTATTTGAATGTAAATGAGACACTCAGCTCTTACAGTTCTGGGGGCAGTATAAGAGTTCAGTTAGATAGGAAAAAGTGAAATAGTGAAATGGAATAGAAATCTGAAATTCTTGCTTCATTTCTCTTATCTCCAGATCAAGGAGGAGCAAAGTGTCTGCACGTAAAATTGGTCTTCAAAAGCTGTGGGAATGGTGTGTTGGGATTGTACAGATGACATCACTGCCCTGGAGAGTTGTAATTGGGCGACTTGGAAGACTGGGCCACGGGGAGTTAAAAGGTAAGGACAGCTAAGGATGCCATGTGCTGAGGAGTAGAGCTACACGTAGGGTGACCAGATGTCCCGATTTTATAGGGACAGGCCCGATTTTTGGGTCTTTTTCTTACATAGGCTCCTATTACCCCCTGTCCCAATTTGTCACACTTGCTCTCTGGTCACCCTAGCTACATGCTAGTTTCGTGGTCAGATAGGATGGTTTAATATATTGATCATGATGCTGCAAACCAGACACTACAACCGGGAGTTATAATTCGACCTCTGATACTAAGTCATTATGTGGCCTGTATAAGTCATCTTATCTCTGTCTCTTTCCCTGTCTGTACAGTGAGGATAACTATATTCACTTGCTCACCTGCTGCCCACAGGTGTGTGGATTAGCTAGTTACTATTTGCACAGTACTTCGAAAATGTACATTGCTATATGGTAAATATTGTTACTGCTTTTGCGAAATGCTTACACAACACGTACATGTTAGTAGCTAAGGAAGAACCCCAAAAAGGAACAAGAGGTTGGTTCGGTTTGTTTTTTAAAGTGTTACAATCAGCTATATCCAGTTTTACACAGTCTCAGTTTAGTACTGAGTACTCAGGTATTCGCTGTAGCACACAAGGCAGTTGATGTAATTTAGTGCAGTTTGGTCTGATGGGCCCTATTAGTGTTGAGCAATAACAAAAGCATAAGGATAGTAACCATAGGGAGACTAGTAAGCCAAAAGTGAAGTACAGCCTGGCATTATTGAGTGGTTTAATACAGTAGCATACTATGTATAATTTTAACCCTGGAAATGTGAAGCCCTGTCCTGGTCACAGTCTAGCATAAGCTTAGGGTAACTGAGGAGCTGGCCCATATGGATCCTGTCAGGGTATAGTGTTCACAGGAAAGTAGCAGATACACGGTTAAGATCTGATTTTAAAACTTCAAATGGAAGCAACTCTACTGAATACAGTGACGATACTGAGCAATGTGTCAAAATTACATCAATTGCAAAGTAACTAAAAATGAACTGGTCACTAGGGTTTACTTAATATTAGGGTGTACCTTGTGGCCTGCAAGGAATGTCCAACAATTGGCATCCCCATTAGGGGATTGTGGACATTGACAGGGCACTATGGAGAATTTTACTTAGGCTACACTGAAAGAAAAAACAGTGTGCAGAGAACTTCATTTTCCAAAGCTGATCCAAATTCAAAAACAAGATAAAATATTGAACAGGGTTAAAAAAATCAGTAATTGAATAACCTGGTATGGTATATGTTGAGGTAAGGTTGTAGGTCACCTCATTATAAAGACTGTAGAACTGATTTACAATAACATTTAGTAGATAGTGATTTATACATTATTCTTCCTTAAAATCAGATGAATATGTGAGCTAACAGAAGTTACTTTTGGTAGCCTATGCATTCTAATCACTTGGATGAATACTTTCTTTGGCAGACCACTGAATGACTATGCTATAAAATTCCTTTTTCTGTCCCATACAGTAAAGCTGCAACCAGCCTGTGCTTGCACTGAAATAAGTTTCTACTTGCATGTCTGCAGTACTCTGATTACCAGAAACAGTATTACAAACAAGATTTTGAGTTTAGCAATATGGTGGCACTCTGGTGCTGCCATGTAGTTGACCTCAGTTCAGTTTCTTGAGGTGGTATGAGACGTCTCATCGTGGCTGGAGTTATGCAGTTAGTACATAGATTGGAAGAGGAGTGCCTTGCTTCACTCAGGGAATGATCCCTCCTAATTTAAAGATCAGCACGTACAGGCCCTGAAAGGAGTTCCACCTGTCTTCAGCCAGAAGGATGGAGGCTCTTATGCAGGTCTGGGTGGATGATTCTACACTGAAAAATGGAGCAAATCTTAGGGCTGGGATAGGGATATAGGTAAGACATTTAGTGCGTTTTGTTGTTTGAATTGGAGCATGAAAGGTAATGTAGGCTGGAGGATAAAGATGTGCATTCTCACATTAATCACCTAAGGTGTTGTAGTGACTTATTCAAAGCAATCCCAGATTCATGGGTTTGGGGCTAATTAAAATCAGATAAGCAGCGTGTATCATTTTTCTATACCAGCACTCAGGCTAGCCTTAGGGAGCTGCTGCTTCAGTCAGTGTAGGAAAAGAAGCAGAAATCACACTACCTTCAATTCAGCTAGTACACACAAAGGAGGAGCTTAAATTGGCTTTAGGAAGAAGCAGTTATCTATCCCTTGGTTGGGGAATGAGGTGCCAACCACAGGGCTGTCAGTTAAAGTGGAGAGGGTGAAAGGGAACAGAGATTGAGAACTTAATTTAAAATCAGCAGATCCTTTTCCCTGGCTCTATTGTGAGTCTGTCTGCTTAGTTGGGGTTCCTGGTAGCTGTTTTCAGAAGATTGACCTCAGTGTCTTAAACTGCTTTTGTTCTATCAGAGGAGATCCTCTGCCACAGTTTTACAGTGCATCTGAGTGCTCCTTTGAAGAAATACTCACCTTCACAGCTCTTTCTTTCTTTTTAATTATAGCGCTATGGCATTTTCTGGTGTTGTGCGTGGGGATTCATGTTGACCGAGCACTCAGATTTCAAGCACTCCAGTTTGCAGCATGTTAGTCAGATGAAAACAATTGTATTTCTACTTCTTCTGTAGAAAAAGAAACAGTTCAACTGAGAGATGATCTCATGTAAAGAATGCTCACACTGGAGTGACATTAAAGTAATAGGATGAGGCAGGCAGTGCATTTCTGAGGGATTATTGCATGCTCTGGGTGCATTGTTAAGTAAGAGGCTAAAGGCCAAGTCCAATTTCAGTAATCCCTCAGTTATGTACTGCCTAGAGTGTCTTATTGCTAAAAATTAAGAGGAAAAATAGTGTCTGTTTGTTTGAATGATTCACATTAGAAGGCAGTTCAGAACGTGTCATTTGGATCCAGAGCTCTGATCCCATTTGTAATTATAAATCAGGTTCCTTTTAGAAGGACATTTCTTCTGAACATTACCATCTTTCACAACATTCAAGTGTTAGGGCAAACCACATTGCGTGTCAGTAACATAATGTGTGTGGCGAAGGACCTGTGAAATAGGAGGAAAGTCTCATGCTTACTGAGCAGCTGATCTTCAGCGCTACATAAGGGTAATAGCTGAGATTTAGATTACAATTAAGGGAAGAGGATTTTTGAATCCCACACTAACAGTTAAGGAATACCATGATCTGTTACTGCCACCACCACTCAGATACAGTGGATCTTCTTAAGATAACGTATTTGACTTGAATGGTTGTGTAAGAAATGATTAACAGAACCAATGCAAAACTAATATTGCCAGAACTGTTACTGGAAGACATTCTGAGTGAAGCTCTCCTGAACCAGAAAACAGTATTTGCCGTCTAACAAACAGAACGTACTTTACAGTAACTGTTTCATTCCTTGTTCGTATCTCCTGGGCTGCTTTTCATTACCAATAGAAGGAAAGCTATTCCAGTGGTTAAAGCAGAAGAAACAGTAGAACGTGGCTTTATCCCAACTTTAACATGGAATCGTTTTAAGTGACTTGCTCAAGTTCACAGTCTCTCTGTGCCTATCTCCATCTGTAAGATAGGGATTGTACTTCTCTATCTCAAAGGGATGTTTGTTTGAGATGCCATAGAAGCACAAAGTGTTGTTAATATTTATTTTCAGCCAACACCACCATATTACAGAAGGTAGAAATAACATTACTGAGATATTTCCAGAGTTTTGTTACATTCTCTTGAAACTAACTGCATTTCAGACTGGAGTATCCTCCTTGGGGAATGTTCCCTGCAGACAATCAGCAAACAGCTGAAGGAAGTGTGCCGCATGTGTGGGATCTCAACAGCAGACTCTCCTTCTATCCTCAGTGCCTGCTTGGTTGCCATGGAGCCCCAGGGGTCCTTTGTAGTGATGCCAGGTAACTACAGAAATGCATGTTACTAAAACTTTTCCTTGGCCTAAAGTCCACATTGGACGTTCTTCAAAGTGGGTGGTTTCTGGTCACAAAAGTGAGACCTCACTAGGATAGATGAATGAAAGAAGAGCAAGAAAAGTTATAATTTGGGACAGCCCAGTGGACTATAGTAGTACTTGGAATTGCAGTGCTGCGGGAGTTTACTTCCAGGAAGGAGATTTCTTTATGCCCTGTCAAGATGATGGGGTCTCCTGGTATCTTTATTTGGAAAGTCATGCCCTGGAGGAATACTGGTTTCATATATTCAGCTTGAATAAATATATCACTATTGTATGGGCCCTGATGCAGAGGGGTCTGCAAAAATTCTTGCTGTGGGAACTCTTCTGTGTGAAGGATCAAAAAGTGTGTTTGTGTGTGTCTTTGTGGGGAGGATGGGATGGTGGAGGGGGAGATTGGAATTGTGACTCACATTGAAAGTGAGGCTAAAACCACGGCCCCCGTAATATCCATTTGTTCTTGAAGAGGCCCTGTTATGTACAGAAATCCACAAGGGAGAACCAAATTAAAGTTAGGTTCATGAGGCTCCTCAGTAGGAAGTGGAAGTTACTGTGACAACAAGAGATGCTGTTGAGTATATCATGGAACAATTTTCTGGCTTTAAGATTACCTGGATTGTCTAATTTTAAAAATATGTTTCCTCCTCCACCTCCTCTGTTTCTCATTTGTTGTATTTGTTTGAATTGTAGGTATTTGTTGTTTCTTTTTGTTGGCTTTTTTGTGCTTGAATTTATACTCCCGCTTCATCTCAGGGAGTGCTACATTTTATGTAGCTTTTTGTGAATTTGGGGAATTATTTTTTTTCATTTACAATCACTGTTCAGTTCTTAGGTTAGGTCAGACTTTGATTAGCATTATGGATTGTAAATAAGGCTTCCAGTTTTCAACGAACGAAAATTCACAGGTATTTTTGGCTATAAATGTCTTGCTTTAAAATCTGGTGGTTTTTTGGTTTTTTTTTGGTTGTTGCGGTTTTTTAGACAGATTTTTAAACCTTTCCCTTCTCTTCTGTCAGTTTTATGCTACTTTTAAGTGTGGGATGGACTAAGGAGCAGCATGAGATGACAGAAGGAAAGATAGAGAGAACTGCAGTATGAGATCAGGTGGCTAGAGGTTCCATTTATACGTATAGTGTTGTTACCTTAAAGTCATCAGGCTTTACCAGTAAAAAGGCTTTTAGAGTTAAAGCAAGAAACCTCAGAAAACATTTTTATTAGCATGCCATTCCAGATTACGTGTCTAGTAATTTTATTGGACTAAACACAAACATACAACATGCAAGACTGAGGATTCATGATTCTGCCTTTGTTTCTGTCCTGAAAGATGCTGTCACTATGGGATCCGTGTTTGGCCGCAGTACTGCACTGAATCTGCAGTCATCTCAACTGAATACCCCTCAGGATGCCTCTTGTACGCACATCCTGGTATTTCCAACCTCTGCAACCATCCAGGTAGCTCCAGCAAATTATCCCAATGAGGATGGATTTAGCCCCAACAATGGTAAGTTAACTCTGGAGATAGTGTGGTGGGTAAAGTATCCCTGTCTGCACTGTGCCTTACAGATGATACTACTCTAGATCAGGCCTGTGCCAGAGAGCACCAAAACTCTGAAGGGTCTGATTCTCCCCTCGCAGATTCCAAGTAGGCTTTGTTAAGGTTCCATTTTTATCATTAGAAGTCGGTAAACATCAATTTAATGGTAAAAAGAAATATTTCCATCAATAATAATTGAAATGTAGAAATAGGCAAAGTCAGAAAAATGCTGCTTGAGAACTTATTATTGTTTTATTTAAGGATATTTATTTTATATATGTTGACATGTGATGTTGATAATTTGTGTTTTAATGGTTAGAAGGCTTTAATTTTTGAATGTCAACCAATATTCCCTTTAAGCTGTGCAGCCGTATAGCAGTCTGTTATCGACAGTGCATCTCTAGTGGCTGGGAGTACAACTAGTAAAAAATAGAATGAATAGAAACTGGACTTTCTGAAATGGCGTTTAGTTCAGAAAGCTCATGGTGATGCAGTAAAAATTCTTCACAACTGGAAACATGGCTTTAGAATTAAGCATTTAATACATGGAGTCTACTGAAAGCGGACAGAAAAGGGGAAACGTCAGTGAGCAAATTGAGATGAAGTAAAAATACTGATTGATAATGTACTTCTTGCTATATAAATAAATTTATCCATATTGTCCATGCAGCACATTCACAACCATGCAGTGAAATAGGTTAATCTTCGTACCAGCTGGAGGAGCAAGAACTATGCATTTGAATTTCTACAATCTATTAATGTAGGAGACCAAAATGAGATCTTGGCTGCTGTATGCAATTCACAATTTCATACGCTGGTAATTGACAAGAGCATCAACATTGCAGTGAACAAAATGTCAATCCTCTACATCAAGCTTTGAGCTCAGAATGATGTCAGGCACAAGACTGTGTGTGCTGGTATTGTCCAGTCAGCTGTATGAGGTGCTCGGCATATTAAAGATGCCATAAAACAATTCTACACAGATCACAATCTGGATACACAGTGAATGTTCACTTCAGATGGTGTCTCCATCATGCTAGGTAATCATGACTGTGTAGCTGCACTACTTAGAAAATGTGTGCTACACTTACTAGAACAACACGGTGTTGCCCATAGAAAGGACCTAGCCTTGTACGATGCCTGGAAAAGTATGACAGTGATGAAAGAAGTGGAAACGCTACTATGAACTGTATATACAATATTTAGCAGATAAAAAATGTAAGTGAGGAGTGGGCCAGTGTATCAGAAGTGGATGTGTTATCTTTCAGGCCTTTGGCCACCAATGGAGCAAGCAGCAGTCCCTTCCTTATCTGCATCATTAGCATAAGTAGTAGCTGATTTTGTTTTTTTTATTCTCCTTCATAGTGTTTCCTTTTTACATAAGTCACCAAGAGGGTGCCAGATCTCGCTCCATAGGTATGGAAGCACTCAAACTTTGGAATTGATGCATCCATCACAATTTGCTTATCTCAGGTGTCTATCTACCAGGGATACAGAACGTGACAGCCGACAATCTCAGTAGAAATTTTTCTCACAGGCACGAATGAGAACTGAACTTAGATCTGCTCCAAGATACATTCACCCTTTGGGGAACCCTGACTACAGATCTCTTTGGTACTTACCGGAACAAAAAATGTCCTTGTTACTGCTACAGGGCCGGTCTGGGGAAACATTCATTGGGAGACACCCTTATCCTTCCATGGGATGGGGACCTCTTGTATACCTTTTCCCGTTTCCTCTTCTACCCAAGGTCCTGTTGAAAATTGAACAAGACAAAGCAAGAGTTATTCTGATAGCCTCTCCTGGCCAAGACAAGTCTGGTTCCCTTACCTGATATCCGCTCCAACCTGGGATCTTAACCTAGTTCTCATGGCTTTGACTAGATCTCCCTTTGAGACCATGGTAGCTTGCTCTTTCTTACACCTGTCCATGAAGAAAGCATTTCTAACAGCCATCACTTCAGCTAGTCGCATAGGAGAACTAGCAACCTTCATGGCACACCCACCATGCTCGGTCTTTTTTAAAAACAAAGTAACTCTGAGGCCGTATCCCACGTTTCTCCCTAAAGTTGCCTCCACTTTCCATATAAATCAACAGATCCATCTTCCTGTTTTTTCCCCAAACCCAGATAGTGACATCAGTGAGGCAATTCTGCGTATGCAAGAAGTAGAAGAGCACTATCATTCTACTTGGACAGGACTAAGGACTTCAGGAAGTCCCCTGACCTCTTCCTTTTGCTCGAGCAAAGATTCAAACGCTGGGCAATATTGGCTCAAACACTATCCAAATGGGTCTCTGCTGCATTAATCACTTATCAAGGGGACAACCTGCTGCCTTCATCCAGAATCCGTACACACTCCATGAGGTCAATTTCTACCTCAGTCACATTCCTTAAAAATGACCCTGTCTTGCAAATCTGCAGAGCAGTGACTTGGGCTCTGCCCACACTTTCGCAGAACATTATGTGATCACTGGAAATTCAGCCTCTGATGCTATCTTCGACTCCACAGTACTCTCTGTAGTAACAGACTCCACTCCGAAGTCCCAGCCTCCAGTGGTGGGAACTGCTCAGCAGTCACCTACAGTGGAGCACCCATAGGGATACCCACTCGAAGAAGAACAGGAAGTTACTCACTGTCAAGAGGTGTCCCTATGGGTGCTCCACAGCCTGCCCTCCTCCACTCCATAGGGTTCTGCGGTAGAGAAGGAACTGTGGGGGAGGTTTGCCTGTGCAGTGCTAGATAGCCTCAAGGCAGACCACGAGGGAGGGAGAGCACATGTGCAGGCTCAAGGGACGCTACTACCAAAAATCTCTGATTAGAGGCGCAGGGGCACAGATACACTTACTATGGAGCATCCATAGGGACACAACTCGAAGAACCATTGTTACTGCACAAGGTGAGTAACTTCCTCTTGTTGGACCAACTTCTGTTGATGAGTCAGACAAGCTTTTGAGCTTACACAGAGATCTTCTTCAGGTCAGGACCAATAAAAGATATTGTCTAATCTGTCTTCCCCATAATTTCCTACAAGTGAAAATTTAAATTGACCTATAAGTTTTCACAACTATGAACATTTGTTGATAAATCAATTTGAAACATTTTTCAGTTTTTATCTATTGAAATATAATTTAAAAAATGAATTCTTCCAAGCCTTTTTACAAGTAATTGTCATTGACTTTTAATGGCAGTAACTCATTGCGGTGGGAGAACAGTGTACCAGGGAGTCTGACTAGCCTTTTTAGGTATCCTGACCAACAACCACATCCTCTGCTGGCTTGTTTGGAAGCAAATGAACAGCGTAAACAGCACGCTTCATAAATTAGTCTGAATGTAGACAATCCTGTTGCTCAGCACCAGTAGAACGTTCTGTACATGGGGAAGAAAAAAGAATCCAGATAGCTTTGTATCAGTAGCATGTTCTTTCCTGTTGTGACTAGTCACATATAGGTACATATGTTAGTTGCATGTGTCTATTGAATTGATCAGGCCATTCTTTTAATTGGAAGATCCCGTTATTTAAGCAACAGTCATGTATATAAAGTTGCATGGAATGATCTTGTTTCAAAAAATACAATCTTGTATAGGTTAGGCTAGGCTGTTGGTCTAGCAGGTGTATTCTTTTATACGATTAACTGTATAAGCTTAATCAGTAGGATTGCTGTTATTTAATACTTTTATCAGATATGATTTTTCTAGTTTATTATTTTGCAAAGGATCTTTAAAAATGGCTTTAAAACCATTTAAAGTGGTAGTTACAAAAAATATAAAATAAAATGCTTCAAGAGGGAAGTTGCAATAAGAAGTAGGAAAAAAATCTATTTTTAATGAAAGAGTCTTTGATCTGCTCCTCGTGGAATTTCAGTGGGCCTCACAAGGGGGAAGCTATTCTTAATACATACGCAGCTGCCTTTCAAGGCCCTAGAATCCTGACTGAATGCAGTGTGTACAAATATTTAACCTGCATTAACCTGGACTTTAGTGCTTCAGATGCTAATTAGAATCATGTACAAGGACTGGCGTTTTCCAAAATGGTGTTAAATTTAATTTTCTTAACTCTGTTCTGTGTTTAATAATTAAACTGCCTTCTACGCTATTAGTCATCTCATTTGTGTTTTGGAGGCTAAACAGAGCATGGCATTACTTCTGTTTTGTGCAGCAGGGTTGTAGGAAGGAAGTTAATAAACTAGGTTAATTCAGTGCTTTAGCCATCCATTGCTCTCTTCAGAATATGAAGGGAAACAACCAGCCTGTGTAGGTTTAAACACACTTAGCAACCCAGCTTGAAATTACTGTAAGTAGTTCAAGACAAAAAGTCTCCCCTTTGCAATTAAATCCCTTACATTCAGATCAAATGGAATCAGCCTATTCAGCCACCACAAGTTTAGAAATGGAGTTTAGCAAGTTATATCCCTGCTATTAATTGTATACTATTAAGCAAACTTAAGCTACCTAGAAATGTGTACTATTACACTGTGTTTTAAAACAAAACTGGCTGTTCTTCTAATTAATCTTTATTTTGGCTTCCTCTGTTCTCCCTGACCTGCCACCCCCCCACCCCCGAAAACAGAGGATTTTAGTGGAAGTTTTAAGCATGTAGTAATGATCGTCATTATGTTTGTCAATGTCTCTGCTTCCTGCAAAATCTGGATAAGAAAAATATCGTGAAAATATATTGCCACATTGAAAGTAACATTTTGCTTTGTGTTTTAAACTGGTAACTTTCCATCATCTGAACAAGCCTTGGCCTCATAACTTGTGTTTCAAATGACTGAGCAATGAGAATGTACTTTTTGTACAGAGTTAACTTGTTTTCTCTCCATTATCTTTTTAGTCACTTCCCACATATTAACATAAACAAACTGAATTAAAATAAGTCAATCCTGTTTTGAGACCTGTAAGCAAAACTAATGTTTCAATCTCTCTAAAACCTTTAAGTATTATTAGCACTTCGCTTTAAAGGTAGAAAGAGCAGAAGAACACACAAACTCAATTGAATTTAGCAAACAACCAGCAATTATTATTTAAAACGAGACAGATTGCCATTTGTCATAGGATTTTAAGCAAAAGCAATTTAGAACCCATAATCCACAGAAGTTTCTACAGAGCAAGCAAACCTGGCCTGGCAGAGCTCCACCCAAGTATGTGCTCCAGAGAATACCCTTAATGTGGCTCATCAGTCAGCCACTTTTCCCGTCCTTATGGATGACCTGTCTTGACAATGCCAGGTCCAGGCTGACAAGGTGGTTCCAAGAATTAGGAGTAACAGTAGTAGTAGTAGTAACAGTTTTCCAAAGAAGTTAATGTTCTACTTCGGTCCACACACGTGCTCTTAGCCATCCTCATGCCTTGTACAGAGAGCAATGTGGACGAACTGCCGTCAACTGCCTCAGTCTGAGGCAGAGTGTACTGCGCTCCCCACTTCTAGATTGCTCTAGGAATAGCTTCTTGGTTTGTTTAGTTTTAGGTGTAGCTCTACTTTTAGTTCAATCTCGATTTAGAATTTTTCTTTTTATCTATGGGGTTTATTTCCTTAGACAACCCTCCCATGCCCCATTTTTGAAGGGGTCCTCTTCTCAATAGTTATTTACCCAGGGTAAACCTGTTTCCCTGGGATTCAAACATTGCCAGGAATCTGTCCTGGTCAGTGATGGTCTTCCTTGTATTTGTTGTTTGGGAGACATGCATATCCCAACTAAGTGCAACATCTGTTGGATGTTCAAGAGTAGATCCAGGATAAACTGGAAGAATAAGTTTAGGCATGCATGCCTGTAGAGAGGTACATTGCATTGACCAAACCAGTGATGTCTGTCACTTGCTTAAAAGCAGTGCCACATCATAAAGGCCAAAAATGCCTAGATCTCTTTGGTCACAAGAGCTACTCATTCACAATGTTAACAGTTTAGGACCACTAATTATCAAGCTCTGATTACTCAATATAAACACACAAACTATAGCAAATGCAATTTGTTTATTGAACATCTCCCTCTAGAAAATAGGGAACAGTTTCAGATGATCATCACAGAGGTTCAGCTCTTAGCAGTGACCTTGATGGAGAGGACATAGCAGCCTGATCTATTTCTACAGCAGTTGTCATGCATCATGCATCTTGGTGGCAAACATCAAGATTCCCAAGGGAAATCTAGAACACTGTAGAAGGCCTTCTTTTTGATTGACTTAAGCTCTTGAGTGAGTTCACTGTTGAATCCTTGCACATTCTCAAGGAGTTGAAGGCCACACATCTCTTGGGCTCTACACATCTATGAACAACAGAAAATTTAGCAGGTCACAGACAGATCAAAGATTCTACCCAGTCAGTTCCCTAGTCTTCTGAACCATCTAAGAAGAGGCCTGGGTTTCAGAAAAGAAAACATTTGTTGTATCTTCCAGTACTATCAAATCTTCCTTGTCATCTAAATGTCAATGTTGATGTTTTGGTTGATGGTCAAGAACAGCCCCCAACTCAGAATCTAGAACTGCACTATTCTTTCTACCTTCTCCCAACTGTTGCAGACTCTCTTCCCTGGTTTCGGCCTTCATGGGAGCAGATTACATCTGGCAGATGAGTTTTGGGGGTTGTAGCATCAGGTTATTCATCTACTTTATTTCCATTCCCCCCACCCCGACCCCTTCTTATCCTGTTTCAGAAACCCATCTCACAAACGCTTATTGAGACAAAAAGAAAAGG